GGATACTACTACTTTTCTTAAGTTAGAAGGTATCTAATATAGAAAATTAGTCAAAATATCACTCGTGTGTCAGGAATGAGCAGTGGGCCACTGTATCCTGGGATATAGAGTCCCCTAAGGTCAATAGTTTTGAGTTGGAAAAGCTCAAGAGCAGAAGAAAAATTTGAAGCAGAGCTACATTAGATCAAAATCTGGGTTTTGGGTTCTCCGCACATCTACTGCCAACACAATAGATACTACTCACTTAAGGACGGGCAAATGGGGGTTAGAGGGACTATAAGAAGAAAATGAAGTCTGGGGATTTAAGGAAAAGACAGATTGATTATATTAAAATTTGAAACTAGCAAACTAGTAAAAAAATAAGAAATATCTTTAACTGATAAAGAGCTTATTATACAAGTCACCTAATTGTTAAGGACATGAACAGAATGTTAAGAAAAATACAAACAGTAAACAAATGGAAAAAGATACTTCAATCAAAGGCCAAAAAGCAAAAGACACATTTTTTTGTTCATCGTATTAGCAAAAATCAGAAACTGGTATTATTACACATTGGCTGGGGCAAAAGACACACTGTCTTACACATCTGGGTGCACCACAATCCTTTGGGAAAGGATTTTAACCTAAGAAGACAATCATAGGTATAGACAATATTTCCTGCTCAAAAGCATTCATTTAATGTTATATAAAACATAATTCTAGTATTACAGCTCTTTTTGAATTTGCCTAGCAGGTTTTCCAGTCTACCAGAAAACTCCCCCTCAAAAAAAAAATTCTAATGGGAGACAGATTCCTCTGTGATATAAATAGTTAATGTCTACAAACATTTGTCCATTCAAATTAACGAAGAAAATATACTTGTTAGACAAAATTACAGACATGACCGTACCCACTGGAAACCAAATAAAATATATATAAAAAAGAGCTAAACCAAAATGTTAACAAAAATTGTCAGGGTAATGAGATATGAGCAATATTTTATTTTTCTTTTATACAATAATTTTGCAAAATGGCAACAGTTCACTTTTATAGTGTGTGTGGGGGAACCTAATGTCAAAATGGCTAAGTTATATAAACTTTTAAATGTCAACTTACCATTTATGTTGCTTTCACAGCTGGAGTTTTTTTAGACCTTAACTTGAAGTATAAGATTATCAAAGCAATGCTTCCATATGTGGCCAGTACACACTGAAAAAAGAAAAAAGTAAATAACTAGTAGTTTGTCACATCTACATTATTCTAAAATATAACTGCTTAAAGGTATCATTAATACTTACGTTCATTCTACCTGTAAGAGTGTGAGAGTTGAAATACTTTTTAATACCAGTGAACTGGAATTGGGCATCATTTTCTGCACCTGCCATGATTTCAATCTTTTAAAAAAAGAAAGCAACAATAAGTTGGTTTGGATGCAATTTAAAAGAAAGTAAGTTTTTTTAGTTTAAAAACTCAAAGTCACTGCATATAAATATTGTAAAGTTTTACCTATGTCTTGCCTAACACAGCAATAACAAAGAGGTAGAAAATGCCTTGCTGATAAGCTTTTGAAAATAGGACTTTACCTTGGTTGCTATTTCATAAACACTCCAGAATGTCAAATCACTCAGCATAAGAAGAGAACACAGTAGTCACTAAGTCTACCCTCTGACCCAATATAGCTTAATGTTTTCATTCCTGGCTCTGTACACACTATTGTACATTGTACACTGAATTAAGACTAGCTAAAATTAAGAGCTTCCAACCTTTCTCAGAGGGGTGTTCACCAACAAAACAGCTCAACTCACAACCCCTACTTTTACAGTTTTTCTTGTCATAAATAATTTAGGACTTCCATGGGGTGGGAGGAGGAGAAGGATCATTTACTAAATGGAGTTGATACTAGCCACTGCTGGTGGGGAAGCTTGAATCCTTACTCCTTTTAACAAAATAGATAAAAGACTCAAATGTAAATAGTGAACCAAAAAGGCCTGGTAGAAAATATGCGCAAGTATTTTAATCATCTTAGGGAAGGAAAATATAAAGAAAAGAATGCCAAAAACAAAAAGGCAAAACATAAAACAAATCAACCTCACCATCAAAGAAATGTAAAATGAGGCCAATATTTAACCATCCAACTGGCAAAGATAAAATTATGATAATAAGCAGTTTCAGTAAGAATGTGGGAAACGAAGCATTCTCTCTCTCTTGCTTACTAAAGTCAAATTTGGCAGTATCTATCGAATTATAAAATGAGTATACTCTTTATCTAGCCGGTTCATTTTTTTCTAGGAATTTATCCTTGTAGAAATATTACAAAGTGGAAGTGTGCTATATGGTTCAAGGAAATACTGCTTATGATAGTACAAAATTGAAAAAACTAAAAGTCCATCTATAGGAGACAAATAAGTGATGGTTTCCATTGGAGGAAATAAATACAATCTGCACAGATCCTTGTGTACTGACATGGAAAAGATGTCCCCAAGAAATGTTAAATATAAAAAAAATCCCATCTCTGTATATTAGAGAGCACATCAATGGTTCTCAAAGTCTGGTCAGCAGCATCAGCATCACTGGAAACTTGTTAGAAATGCAGAATCTCAAGGCCTACACAGCTTATTGAATCAGAAACTCTGGGGGCCCAGTAATCTGTTCTAATAAGTCCTTTAGGTAAATTCTGATGCATGCTAAAGTTTGAAAAACACTGCAGTAATGGAAACAGAACACCAAACTGTAATGGTATAGGAAAAAACCCTGGAAGTATAGCAAACTTTTAAGAGGGATTAAATCTATAGAACCTGTGTATTTTACAAAGACAGGTTTTTCTTTCATAATGAATAGCGAAGACAGATTTAAAAGGTCACCAGAAGAGTTGAAAATTCGTATGTATGACCGCCTATCTACCACGACCGACGCCACGCCGAGTCGATTGGCAACATAGACGAGCCGGTCGAGGTCCGGTCGAGATTGTTAGGCAGTGGCAGTGACTCAGCTGGCTCTTGAAGAAATGGAAGAGGTAAAGATCTGTGAGGGAGTTGTTGCTACGGAAACTGGCACTCCCCATTTACCATTCAAAGGGTTTCAGAGGCATTCATGTGCAAAGAATTGGCAATGAAAATTTGAGACAAATGACCTTAATTTTGAACAGTTTCAAGAAGGTTCCTGGAGCAATAAAAGAAATCCAAACTTCCTTAGGTCCCTACAGAGACTTTGGCCGGGCTAGCCCAGGTAGGAAAATCTCCATTAAAAGAAACCTTTATGATGTAGCTTTTATATCAACTGTCTAATTTTACTAAACTTACTGATGGCATACTTTTTCCCCCCATTCATTTAATAATACATTTTTGGATTCATTCCTTACGGTATTCAGTAAGTTTCTAAGAGAAACCCTACCCAAAACATGAACTTAACTTAGTCAAATCATTAACTGATAACCTCCACTACTTTTCATCTAACAAAACTCTTTAGAAGGATGTGGTGTCTAACTAAAACAACATTATGGTGCTTTAAATTTCCCTCTAAATTACACAATATGGGAGGAAGGCTGAAGTTTGTGATATTCCACAGAAGACCAATTCTGACTGCAAGGAAGGGCATAAATTTTTCAGCTCCTATAAAGGAGGACGACTCTTAAGAGGCTGAGATGGGGTGTGTGGGGGGGCGGCGGCAAGAAGTGAGGGTGTTGCTGAGAGTAAGCCAGAAAACATGTGGGTCTGCATCCTTCTACAAACTGCAGGTTACTTTAAGGTAAAGATCAGGAACCCTTATGTTAGAGTGCCCTTTGTGGAATAACTGAACTGAAATAAAGTCAAGCTTAAAGTTAGAAAGACATATTAATGAAGGTGAAAAATCACCGAAGATACATAATCGTGATTTAATGTTGTTAAATAATAGCGTGTGGGAAAGTCTAAGGGTTTAATAAGGCCTTCGCTTCTGTTTCTAATTGAGCCGCTATCTGCAATTAAATATACAAATCCCTCCATGCCTCTCTCCACCAGTGAAATGGGTGTTTCATTAAAGGCCCAAAGCGAACAGTTGCACTCTCTCTCTCGATACTGCTATGCTCCTGTCTGACGGGGTACCTACCTGAAATGGTGAGATCACGAGGTAAAGGCAAAGACGAGAGCCGCTCAGCTACCAGAAGCAGCCTTTTGTACTTGAAGGAGTTTACAGCTCTCTGTTCTGGCTACCTCCTAGGAAAGGCCTTCCCGCTGATCATATAGAGACTGAAATCTAACCCGCTTACTACGGGCCTGGAGAACTTCAGGGGCCCGGCCACACTCACTCTCGTTTTGACAAAGGCTGCAGCGCAGCTGAAGGAGGCGGGCTAGCCAGCTTCCTGAGCACAGCTTAGAGGAGACAAACAACTACGAGCATACAGACGAGAAGAGGTGAATTCGGCCAGAAATGGAGACGGAGCACGAATCCTCGTCCAATAAAAACTACGTCACTGGTGACCTCGGGGGACTCATTTTTCTCCACTAGAAAATGCAATCTAAGGGTCTTTGGGAACCGTGTGTGTGTGTGTGTGGGGGGGTCTCTGGCTGCGCCTACCCGCCTCGCCCCGAGGCTTCCCAGCCACTGTCCGTCCCCTCAGGCCCCGACCCTCGTTTTCTCTAGCTCCTTTCCCACTCCCCACCGTTCTCGCCCGCCAAGACGAAGACTCCACGGTGCTCCAGAAACGCTGAGGTTCTAGGCCGGACACACAAAGCGAAGGCGCGAGGCCCGAACCCGGGGTGCCCCCTCACCCACCTGGCCAAAGCCACAAATTCCGCAGCCGGTGTCCTTCAACGTACACAGCCGTCCCTCGGCCCGACCGGAAGAAGGCCCCTCCCCGCAGACGTTCTACAGCCACAGCGATTCAGCCTTCCGCGTCTATTGGCTACGGCTCCAAGACCCGCCCTTCCGCTTCTGGTCTCCACATCTCCTGCCCGGCCCATTAGGACTCAACTCAGTAGCGGAAGTAGGGCGTTGAGCCCGCCCCCGCTTGCGAGAAAGTAGGTAGGGCTAACAGTACGTGAGCTCCGCGTGTGTGATTGCAGCGGCGCGGAGCTCGAGGTAAAGAGGTGCTGGCGCCGCGGGGCTGGTGAGTGAGGGCCGAGGCCAAAAGGGAGGGACCTCATGGCTCTCAGGTCTGCCGGGTACCCCAGGTCCTTGCCAAGCGCCCGCCGTTCGGGATGAGTGGTTCGGCCACCGCGCCCTGCTCCCAAGCCTGCTGTGTTCAACCCGTCCCATTAATCCCAGGCTCTGTCCCCGGGAAGTAGCCTAAGTCCATTCTCTGCTCCTCATCGCCTTATTTTTAGGAGCTTCAATTTCCCCTTGTCTGAAGTAAGGTTAAGGGTAAAACTCACAGCAAACTAGACCCCTTGCACTTTCCTATTTCTGCGAAGCGTACAGCTATTCCTGATTCCAATTCCTAAATTCCCTCTTGGCTGTCCCTTTCGGTTGTCATCTTTTCAACAGTCTCAAACCCTTGTAGGTTCTTACTCCCAAGTGTCTCTCAGAATTAATCCCTCGTTTTTTCTGTACTCACTTATACCTAGTTTGGGTTCTCATGGTTTCACTGCTGAGTACTGCGTTTGAATCCTACCCAATTTACTTGCCTTCAGTCCTCTCTTTCCGTCCAATCTGTAGCCTGCGTGTATTTTTCTTGATTACTGTTCTGTTACTTCCCCTACTTAAGACTGATTTGCCAAAGAAAACATAAACTACTCATATCTCATCCAAGATTTTCCACACAAAAAAAGCCCAACTTGTTTTTTAAGATTTAATTCCAATTCTTATGCTTTATTCACCTTGTGGTCTAGTTCAGCAGTTCTTCAAAGAAAGGCAGCAGCAAGCCTTTGAGCAATTGTTTGATAGGTAAATTGCTGGGGGTTATTGAAACAGGCTTTTTCTGTTTCCGTGTCTTTTCTCACATTCCCTTTCCACCTGTGAAACTCCTGTTCATCTTTTAAGATTCAGCTCAAAAGCGTCTTTATGAAACCTCATCACTCTTTACCTCTTCGTCAATAGTTTATAATCCAATTTGTATTTTAAATTACTTGCATAATTGTTTTATTTTCTAAAAAGTGTGCACGTTCTTTGAAGGCAGGTAGTTATATAGTCGTTTGTGTATTTCTGTCCTAACTGTAGCTGCTTGATGAGTATTTACTACATTAAATCTATAACTGTTTCTCCTGAAGGAAAGTATGTGAATTTGTGGTATTGAAGCAGAGACCTTTGGGAAGATGAAGTATGGCTCATTTGGGGCCTAACATCTCAACCATCTATGTTGTAGTCCTGGATGTTGTCTAGCATGTTGCTAGAATGTTCTATCTCTTGCCTATTGCCCTGTGAAACCTGCCATCAAGGCTGCATCTCAACATTACTCTTTGCATTGGTTTTAGGAGACCCAAACATGGCAGCCCTGGAAGAAAGCTTCCCCCGAGGGGGTACAAGAAAGCCCCACAAATCAGACAAAGCTTTCCAGCAGTCAGTTGAACAAGACAACTTATTTGATGTAAGTGGTATGCTTGATTGATGAGATTCACTGGAAATGTTCTCTTGTGAGAGAGAAGGATGAACCTTGTTTGATGATGTGTGATTTTCCAAATTTGTTTCTTGATGAAGTCTTCTTATGTAAATTGAACTTGTTAGAGAGGTTATATCACCACAGGCTATATCTTTTGAAACAAGGCATTAGAATTTGAGTTTGAAGTACTGTTGTTATAGTTCTTAGGGACTCTGTGCCTTGTTGATTAAGGATAGAGAGAAGGCAGTTTGGTCATTGAATTTTTAGATGGGGTTCTTGCCACATATAATGGTTAGAATTTGTGTTAATATTGACAGTCTTACCTGAAGCAGGCTGTGCTCCAAATGCTAGGGGAAAGGGAACTAATGTTTGAGTGTATGGCTTTATGACTATATTATATAATTTTTCCAACTGTACTATGAAAGTAGAGGTCATAATTCCATGATGAGGAATTGAGGCTTGGAGAGGTTATATAATTTGGCTGAACCCACATGGCTTTTTTGGTGGAAATGGGAGTTTAACGTGGGTCTCTGTGACTACAGCTTCTGTTTTCATGTAGTATTCTACATTGCTTCTCAAGTTGGGAAACCCTGATGTCCATCCTGGTCAAAAGAGGAAGAACACAGTAGAGAAGAGACTTTGGGAACATGAAAGGAAGCTTCTTAGACCTTGAGCAAAGGGAACAGTGGTGGCCAAATGGGAGAGTTGGGATTGAAACAGGAATTTAAAAAACAATTGGGAATGGAGTGGGGGAGTAACAAAGTGAAGTGAAAGATGACCTGAAATGGGAGGGAAAGGCCAGGATTGCTCCTCATTCTTTTGGATATTTGTGGGTCTTTTTTCCTCTTTAGATTTCTACTGAAGAAGAATCCACCAAAAGGAAGAAGAGCCAGAAAGGGCCAGCAAAAACAAAAAAGTTGAAAATCGAAAAGAGAGAAAGCATCAAGTCTGTAAGAGAGAAATTTGAAATCCTGAGTGTTGAGGTTTGTTAAAATTTGTTTTTCCTTTAAACAGATTACTTTGATTGCTCAAGTTTGTGTATGTTCTTCCTTCCCTCGTTCTGTCTTCATTTTCTTCATTCCTTTCTCCCATATATGTACATACATACATACATTTATATATTTTGTGTGTGTGTCTGTAGAGATACTTGCAATTTGTGCTGAGAATTGAGCATTATTTCCTTCAATTGTTAACTAGTGTCTGGGTTGGTTTTTTCTTTCTTCTTAAGCTGCTGTGGGCTTGCTTGTGTCCTTATGAGACTTGTGTTTTAATAAATTCAGATGTTAAAAACTGACAGTAACTTTAGCAGTCATTCCAGTCCTACCCATTCATTTCATAGATGTGAAACTATCTCAGAGAAGTGAAATGGTCTTCTTATGTTTCCAAAATTTTTAGATTATTACTCCAAGATATGTTAGTTGTAAAAAAGAAAAAAAGTCAAATAATTCTGAAGGGAAAGACTCAGATTCAACCTGCAGGAGTATTTTGTTTGCTCTGTATGATTCTTAAAAAAAAAAATTGTTTAACTGGGGTGCCAACATTAGAAAACTAAAAATTTCGCATAAAAATGTGATTTCTGGTTTCTTGTAAAAGTTGGTAAGTTCTGACAGCACAAGGCCTATGTTCCCTCATGTTTGTAGTCACAAGAAGCTGGGTAGTGGCTGTATGCTTTAGACCAGGCATGCACACTCCAGACTACCATTGTCTCCACTGGCCACTTCTTGCACTGTGTTGTCTACTAGGCATTTGAATTTGGGTTGCCTGGAATAAAGTAAAAGGCAAAAGTGTCCTTCAACACTGCGATGATGTTAACACTGTTGTATAATCTAGATCTTTTACGGTATTCGGTCTTATATTTGATAAGTATACTGATACATACATACATGTATGTACAGTATTTCCTTTCATTTGCAAGATTCTGGTAGCTTCTAAATGTTAGAGTTAGTGGTAGAAGTCAGCCCCCCTAACTTCCCCTATCACTGTTCTCTTATTTATTGTACACATTTCACTTTTTTATTCTAGTCCCTATGTGAGGGAATGCGGATTTTGGGTTGTGTGAAAGAGGTAAACGAACTGGAACTGGTGATCAGTCTCCCCAATGGCCTCCAGGGGTTTGTGCAAGTGACTGAAATCTCTGATGCCTATACCAAAATGCTGAACGAACAGGTGACCCAAGAAGAACCTCTGAAGGTAAGGGAAATCTGGATGAAACCTGTTACTGGAAATAGGTGGTACACAAATAGATGTAAAATTACAACTTTGCTAAAGTGCTAAGAAGGAGAGGTTCAAGGTGCCATGAAACTTTGTAATAAGGGGATTTTTTTTTTTTTTATTTGGTCGAGGGAACCTGAAAGACTTCCTTGAGGAAGAGATGCATGAGCTGAAATCTGAAAGATGGAGTTTCCTAGAAAGAAGGAAGGGAGTTCAGGCAGAAGAAACATGAGATGCAACAGAGAGAAGGCTAACAATGGCTAGAGTAGAGAGAGCACAGGACAGTGTTGTGTGAGATGTGGATGGAGGGCTGGGTAGAGGCCAGATCATGTGAAGGTTGACAGACCATATTAAGGATTGGTTTTTAATTCTAGAATCAATGGGAAGCCCTTGAAATGTTCTCATGGGGTGAGTGGCATGTAGATAGCATAGCAAATAGGTTGAAGAGGCATGAGGGGTGGCCTAGAAATCAGTTAGGAGGCTATTGGAGTAGGCCAGGCTCTGAGATTGATGGTAGCTTGGGTTCAGAATTTACTGAGGGCTGAGGACATAAAGTAATGGTCTGGTGATAGATTTGATATGGGTCGGAAGGCAGAGGTGACAGAGACAAGTCCTAGGTTTCTGTTGTGCATGATTTGACAGTTGTGCATGTCATCCTGAGATAGGAAACCCTGAAAGGGGACCTGGATTAGGAGAGATGATCATGATTTGGTTTTTTTTTGTTTTTTTGTTTTTTTTTGATATGTTGAGATTGAGATACAGTTAAGACATCCTGTAGACAGGTGATTCCAGAGCTCAGGGAAGTCTGGGCTGGAGACATAAATGTGTGAGACTTCTTTGTATAGCTGGGAATTGAAGCTATGAAGCGGGAAGAAGTTGCTTATAAGGAGCAAGTAGAGTGAGAAGAGATTAAAAGACAGAGTCTAGAATAAATACTGTATTTTAATTGCTGAATAGAAGGAGAATTTCTGTCAAAAAGCAGGAGGGGCCAGAGAGATAGAGAAGAAAACCAGTGAAACAAGAATCTTGGAAGCCAGGGAGGAGATGTTTAAAGAAGGAAGGAGTGGTCAGAAGTAAGTGTTTTTTTTTTTTTTTTTTCCTTTTTGTCTTTTTTCGTGTCCGGCAATGGATCGCAACCCTCAGTGTTGCGCCCGTACCGGACCGGGACCGGCAACGGGATCGCAACCCTCGGTGCTGCGCCCATACCTCGCTCAGCCAGTGAGCGGGAACCGGTCTGTATGTGGGATCCGAACCCTCGGTGGGAGCACCGCCGCGCTCCCAAGCGGCGCACTGTAGCAGTGTGCCACCGGGCCGGCCCTAGAAGTAAGTGTTTTTTTAAAAGTCATGTAAGAGGGCTGGTGGGTTAGCTTGGTTAGAGTACAGTGTTAGAACACCAAGCTCAGAGGTTCAGATCCCAATATAGGCCAGCTGCCTCCCCCTATCTCCCAAATAAATAAGTCAAGAAAGGAAGAAAGGGAGGGAAAGAGAGGAAGGGAGAGAGAGAGAAGTCACATAAGAAAGGAAGTCACATAAGAGAAGGACTGCAAAATGGACCACTGGATTTAGTGACTTAGAGCTCACTGGTGATTTTATTGGGAGGTAAAGTGGTAGAGTGAGAGGGGAGGAAAGCAAATCACAGTGAGCTAAAGAGGGAGTAGGAGATGAAGTGGAGACAGTAAATACAGACAACTGTTAAGTCATTTTACATCTGCCCGTTCTGTGGAAATATTTGGAGGCCTTATGCTGCAATTCAAGACTGTGACTTGGCCACAGACCCCTCTTCTTTGTGGGCGAATGGTTACCGTTCATCCACCTTTTGGGTTCTTTGGGGTCTGTGGATGAAAAACCACAGCCAAGGCAGGGCAATGGATTCTTGGTTCATGGGAAGGGTATGTTTTAGGTCTTTCTTATTTGTATTATGCAGGACCTACTCTGCTTGCCTGAACTTTTCTCACCTGGAATGCTGGTGAGATGTGTGGTGAGCAGTGTGAGCATCACAGAGAGGGGCAAAAAGAGTGTCAAGCTATCTCTGAACCCCCAAAATGTCAACAGAGTGCTGAGTGCTGAGGCCCTGAAGCCTGGCATGGTATGTATCTTGGCTCAGGGAAGAGGAGCAGGCAATGTGCCTACTTCCTGCCCTGCCTCCAAGGGAGTGAAATCTGAGCCACCTTTTATTCTCAGCTTAACTGTTACCCACAAGGGTGGGTCTTTTCCTGGAGAGAAGGACTTTTGGGTGCTTTGGGTGCTAATGAACATTGAAGACTTGAACCTAATCATTACTTGGGAGGGGGAAAAAGGGAAAGCAAGTTCAGGTTTCACTGGCAGCAAAGAAAAATGCCTCCAGGGAGTCTTAGTTGGGGATTTGGTGATGATGGTGAGTTCCCCAGGGTGCCATATATACCAAGATTTTTTCACAGATTAAGTCTTTTTCATAGGCCTTCCGGCATTTGTGCGGAATGGTTCAGGGCTGCTCTCTGAGAGCAGGAGACAGGATAGTCAGGGCAGTTAGTCCATCTGCTACATTAATGGATGCCCAGCTACTTTGTGTCCATTTTTTTTTTTTTAAAAGATGACCGGTAAGGGGATCTTAACCCTTGACTTGGTGTTGTCAGCACCACGCTCAGCCAGTGAGCGAACCGGCCATCCCTACATGGGATCCGAACCCGGGGCCTTGGTGCCATCAGCACCGCACTCTCCCGAGTGAGCCACTGGGCCGGCCCTACAGCAAATTTAATTTAAACCTCATTTGGCTTTATTGTGATTCTACAGTCGGGAAACACTTCATACTATAAAATAGAATAAGTGTTCCAATGAACCAAGCAGAGGCGGT